AATCGCAACTAATGTTTTTGACAAACTATCTTTATTTAGTTGATTTCATTGGGTTCATATTCCCTGCTATTTTGAAATGTCTGTAAATTAAAAGGAATAAAGTCATTTGTCAATAATAAAAAATGTGAAAAAATTAAAGAATTACAAATTAATTGTGTAACTTTTAGCTATGCCATTCAATTTCTCAATAACCCCTACCTCAATGATGTCATGCATGTAACAGATCATGCAATGTCCTCATTCAACAGTCTCAGATTGACAATGGTACTAGGAAATTGAACAATAGAATTGGATATATTAGAAAATTTTAACTTTATTATCTAAAAAATTTATAAACATAAAAATTAGCTCAAAACAACTTACTTTTGGAAATATCCATGTTGGTGGTGACTTTTTCTTTTTGGTCATTATATTGCATCCTTGAAAAGCCCTATCAACAAATAGAAAAAAGAATGATATTATAGCACGTCATTAATTTAGTCAACCAACAATATATAAGGAACAAATAAAAGGTAAAATATCTTTCCATTTACCCCTTTTAGTACATGTTCGGAAGCATTATGGTTTAAGCAAATCATGAAATAAGCCTATAGATTGAAGACTTGAAATTTAATTCTCGAGTTACTATTCATTGGTAAATTTCATATTTTTTATTTAATTTTAAAAATTCATAACTAATTTTAAAAAAAAGTCATATTGAGATAATTCAAATCTCCAATTAAAGCTATTTTAATTTTTTACAAGGAAAAATACTCTTTAGTTTATTTACTTAACCATTCATTCAAGAATTACATGTAAAGTTATACTATTCATATGGTCAAATAGTACATCTCTAGATTTTTTGTCCTAAATTTGAGCAATCATATCTCTTATACGCATATCCATTTTAAATGATATACCACTTGTTTTAAAGTTTAGGATGTGTACTAATTGCTCACCAAATTTCATGAGCAGATTGATTTGTTTGCTTTACTTTTACTCCATCATAAATTCATTACTCATAATGCGAAAACTTATCCTTTTACTTGCATTAACATACTACAAAACTTTTTTTTTTGGCATCCAATCATTCCAATAATTCTTAAACCACCGTCACACATCATTATACTCAATTATACATACCATTCTCATCATTCATCATTACATAACATTAATGGCATATTCATATCATACATCAACATAAAAAAACTCATAACATGTCATAATACATTTCTCAATCTCTTCTCTTCATTTTTCAATTCCATATTTTGTATTCCTTTTCCTTGCTTATAGACCCTATTATGATTGGTTAAGGGAAGGTGAAATTCAAGAGAATCTCAGTAGTAAACGAATCAATATGCATGCAAGACGAATGCAAGTGTATGACATGCTTACCTTATCTATCACAAGCTTAGCTATTAACAAGCTTTTATGCTTAATGTTTCATACTTGTATACATTGCCATGGACAACTTAAAACAGAGCATCATTCATTCACATATATCTTGTCGCATCCCAAAAATTTTCACTTAGCTATAGGGGATTAAAAATTGGAATGAGGGTTAATGTAGAAACTAGATGAGGAGATAAAACAATTTTTGATGTGAAACCCCGATAAGGTTCGGGCTGGCATTTTCGTAACGATCAGTGTAAGAAGGGCAAAAAAGGAAAATTTGATAAAAATTTTAGAAAATTCCCAAAAAATGGCAAAAGTGTGAATTGGAAGTTTTGAAAACTCAGTTGAAGCCTGAAAAGTGAAATTACAATAAAAGCAAATTATTACGGAATTTCCCATAAATAGAGGTTTTTCGGGAAATTATTGAGAAATCAAAGGAAAATAATTATTTTAAGTAGTTAGAGGCCTCAATAAATTTGAAACAAAGATGGATAAATCATCTAAATATTTTTTTGAATTTATAAAAAAATTTTTAGGCCTTAAAAGTTCAGGAATAAATTTTAGAAAATTTATTTTCTTGCAGTGACACTAGTAAAGGTCTAATCGGAGAAAATTGAAAATAAATACCTAGAGGTGGTGAAAAATTCTGAAAATTTTTAGATGATATTCTCATATTGAAAGGTGAATTATCATAGAGAGAAATGAATTTTTGAAGGTCTGGAAAAATTATGGAATGTTACTAGTGAATAGTAACAGACATGGAAAAAAAACCGAACCGGACCGGCCGGTTCAACTGGTGAACCGGCCTAATGTTCAGTCTGGATTAAGGCAAGAACCAGTCAGGGTTTGAACCGGTGGTAAACCACTTGAGCCGATAAGAACTGGTGTTATTCTTGCTGTGCAGTCTGTGCAGTTTTGTGCGACTCAAACTCGCACATCAGGTCGTCAGCCATGGCGCTCAAAAGCGTGATTCTTGCTATGCTATTCTTTTTTTTTCCAAGTCATATATGCCTCTTGGTCTCTCCTATGCTAGGCCGTGTTGATAGCTTCAGGTTCAACTATAGCAGTGGTGAGAGGCTCTATCGCATCCTGTTCTTCCAGGATATACTGGACCTTTCGGTGCCAGATATCCCAGTTGTCCCCGTTAAGCTTTTCCCCCTTGTTCAATTTAGCAATTATGTTCTTGGTTGCCATTCTTAGTTCTGTGACAAATCTATCCCACATTAATCTATGTTCTTTTTAAAGAAAACCAAACCAAAGAACATTTCAGTTATATAGAATAATGAAGCATACAATGTAATGTGCCTATATTATCCTCAATCAGTAAATAATGAAATTACAAGACCTATGATCAGGAGCATGCGTTTGTACCTCCCATCACACAAATACTAGTAATTATCATTATATTCTATCAAGAATACTATATAAGCACTTCAAAAAAATAACCTTTAGAAGTCTTATCTTCTAAAAGCTCCCACTTATAAAAAGCATGCAGAGATTATTCACAAATAATCGTATAGCAAAAACTATAATTCATTGATAAATTAAGACATTCAGTCTAATTACAATACATGAACATAAATCCTTGAAATGAAAACAAAAAAAAAACATTAGGAAGACAAATACACATATTACATCATTTGATATGAGCATGGAAATATTCTAACATTGCTGTCCTCAGCTTCCTAAGTTTTGTTGATTTGGTCATAAAGGAAGAAACGAAATTTATAGACCAAATCTAGTAGGATTTCCTTATGGGTTTGCTTCTAACCCTTGTTGCTCTTATGTATTCCATTATAACTTTAAGGTAGAATTTTGTACTCTTCTTATCAGTCATGTATTGGGTGTAACTGGAAAGTACACCATTTATGCCTTTTATGTTTGTCAGGTTGGCTACATCTCTTTCAGCTATATTCATAGCTAAGGCAGGGGTACATGGTTGGTTCACTTCCTCTCCTTCCTCAACTTGGGATTCATCGGGAAGATTAAGTGAATCTGCAATGGCCAAGTGAGGCTCCTCTAGGAGGGGTTCAATGGGGAACATAGATTCCGACTCTGGTCCAGAGTCATCGTAGACCACTTGAGCTTGCTCAGGTGGCTGTTCTCCCATCAACTCCTCCGGATCATCTTCAGGGAGTTCATCGAGGTCATTAGGATCCTCTTCAGGGTCCTCCTCAGGTGCATCATCCTCATGAAGTTCTTAAGGATCTTCTTCTTCAAGAAGTTCCGCTTCCGAGCCATCGCCCTAAGGATCATGCTCTGGAGCTTCATCGTCCAGATATAAAAAGTTTAACATGTCATATTTGGTAATTTCAGTGTTGCTTGAATCCCCTTGACTCTTTTTTCTTTTTTTACCTAGGAATTAAATAATATGAATTATTAAAAATATTCTGGAATTTATAATCACATATTAAATACCAAAAATGCACTGAAATACTCACAAAGAGATTTAAATATGCCTCTAAAATAGGCAAATTATATACCAAATTGAAGATCTCGATTTTAGGGATTTTTAGGAACAGACCGTACTTCAAACGGATACCCCACGCTCCTTCACGCGCCCCTAGAAGATTAAATCTAGAAAAAAATAAAAATTGGACCTTTGGTCACTCTCGGCTGTAGCGCGTGTATTACACGCTCCACATTAGAGATCCCCGCCAGCCATACGCGTCGGCTAGGTGGACTCCACGCGCCGTCCGCTTGAGGACAGCCCATGCCACGTGTCAGATGGTGGTGCCACGTGGCCGCACGCGCCATATGGTGCTTCTGTTTTTTTATTTTTTTTTTATTTTTACTTTTTTAAAAATCTAGGTTGGATCCCAGACCCGGCCCAGTCCAATCCCCTCCAGCCTTCCCTCCTTTTGTTTTTGTTATGGGCTAGATCTCACGATCCGGCCTAATTTCTTTTAAAAAAACCTTTTTTTTATAAATAAGATCTGGGCTGGATCCCAGACCTGGCCTAGTTTCTTCTTCCTTTTTTTTTGTTTGGGCTAGATCAGTGAACCAGCCTAGTCCGCCTCTCTACAGTTTTTTTTTAGTTCAAAACGATGACGTTTTGAGAGGCTGGAGGTTGTCGGGTCCGTCCGACCTGATACTGTTCACGGGTCGGGTCTGACGGACCCGGACCTTTTTTTCCACCTTAACTTTGCCGTCTAACGTCCGTTTTTGATGAAGCCAGTGCCATTTTTCTCGTTTTCGCGAGCCCTATGCAATGGGACTAATTTTGAAACCTAAATCTAAGGTTTTTCAATGACCCATAAACGGTTTCGGTCCTTTATTTCCGTCTTGGTGCGTTCTAAGTATTTCCATCGTGTTTTGTTTGTTCTAGGACTCTTATACTCACTTATATATGTAATCTAGCATATATATCTTTACCAAAAATAATGAATGAACACACATATATATAACGAAAACGCAGACTGCCGAAAAGAAAACGGGACTGGAGTAAATGAACCGATATGCTTCAATAATAAACAGAATCAACACAAATCACAGCAGCAGTGGAAGAAATGATTTGTTAAAACAAGTGCTTTGATACCAAGGATGGTTTTCGGGCATACCTGGAGAAAACTCGTGTTCTTGCAGATAGCCACGCGACAGTCCGGTTACCGATTGAACTCAGACAGATGAGTTACATAGCAAATGCACCAGAGAAGGGAAGCGGTTATCTGGCTGTTTTTCATGTTCTACCAAAATGAGGAACTCCAGCCAAAGTAAACTGAAGTTGCGTAACTGTTCCCCCAAAATTGTCAATTTGAACAAAACGCAAGAATCACACTCTGTGACCCAATAGTTCTGTTATTCACACAAGTGCCCCCGATGTAAATGGGTTTAGGCCCAATCCACCAAGGGTGGACCTATATCCCAACATTACCTCATCCCAATCCATCAAAGACCCTGAAACAATAAGCTCAGGTTACTTCAAACTTGGGTTCTTTAGCCCAGAAAATTCAACCAATCGCTATTGGAATGTGGTATCTATCTGAATCCACTGCCATCATTTAGGTGGCTAACAGAGAACAACCCCTCAAAGATTCTACTGGAGTTTTCACCATATCTGAGGATGGCAACCTTATGGTGTTGAACTCACAAAAGCACACACTTTGGTCTTCTAATATGTCAAATATTATTCATCCCAATTCATCAATTGCTCAACTCCTAGACTGTGGGGTCCTTGTTCTCAAAGATAACACTACTGGAGATACACTATGGGAGAGCTTTCAGAATCCTTCTGATACATTTCTGCCAAAGATGAAACTTCAAACAAACCCAGAAACAGGTGAAAGAGTAAAGCTTACTTCATGGAAATCTCCTTCTGATCCTACCATTGGAAGCTTCTCTGTAAATATTGAACGCCCGGATGTTCCTGAAGCTATGGTCTTTAACGGCTCTAAGCCATATTGGAGATCTGGCCCATGGAACGGTAGGGTATTTCTGGGAATATATCAGATGAATACTCGGTATCTCACAGGATTCTATCTAGGAAAAGAAGATGATGGTACTAGTTATATAACTTATGATAAAGGAGACCAATCGTACTTTGGTCTCCTGAAGCTGAATTCAGATGGAAAATTGAAAATAGTTGGGTGGGTTAACAAGGCAGAATATGGGCCATGGATATTTCAAGACTCTAAATGTGATGTCTATGGTTATTGTATGAACTTTGGAATCTGTAATCGTCAGAATTCAACCAAATTAGCTGTTTGAGTGGGTTTGAGCCGAAGAAGCCAAAGGAATGGAACACAAATAGTTGGACAAATGGGTGTGTGAGAAAGACGCCATTACAATGCAAAGGAGATGGCTTCTTAAAGCTACAGAATATGAAAGTGCCAGATTTTGCAAAGAGATCAGATCTTGAGGAAGCAAATTGCAGAACACGGTGTTTGGAGAATTGTTCATGCTTAGGATATGCATATGATCCTTACATACAGTGCTTGTCATGGAGTGATAGATTAATTGACATGCAAAGATTTCCCTTAGGAGGAGTTAAGGTCTTGCAAATTCAGAGCTTGGTACCTTCTCATTCACGTTAAATCAATATATAGTTATATACTATTTTAGTTTTAAATTTTTCCAATAATATTTGTTTTTCCTTTTCTCCATGATAACTACAATTGCAGTCAAGGAAGCAGGGAAAATTGGTGCAACTTCACCTTTAGAGTAACAGATATGTTAACTGCTATTTTCCCATTTCTATGTATGCATTAAAAACGCCATGTAAGTATTTAACGATGCCACCTGTTTTTTTACAAAGAGAAAAAAAAACAAAAACCATTTCATTCTGAATAAATAAAAAATTTAGGGATTGTGAAGTTGAAACCGTGTCCGTGTGTGAGTGAAGAAGACGAGACGAGGTAACAGAGGAAAACGCATCGATAAAGATGATGGTGTGCATGTGAGGAAAAAATGGAATCTTAGATTAATTTGTGGGGTTTGGAGTTGGATGGTTGGTAGATTTGTTGGTGGGTTTAATTCGGGGAAGTGATTGCAGTAGTGAGGAGAGATGGAGTGAGAGGGTGAAGCTTTGAATTAATGTAGAAATGGCGCACCATCGTAAAGAAAGATTTGTAATTGCAGGGAAAAAAAAAAAGGAAATGCACACCGAAGAAAGTGGATTTCATGATTGAATTTTAGATATCAGCTGCACATCGCCGTTTTTGTCGCCGAGCTCTCCAGCTCTCACAGTCTTTGAACACAAAACCTAAGAATTGGGGGAAGAAGCTTTGGCGGAAGTTTTTTTTAATACAGGCGGCATTTTTAATGTTTGCGTGGAAATGGGAAAACAGCAGTTAACACATCTGTTTCTTAAAGGGTGAACTTGCATCAATTTAGATAGTAGAGGGGTAAAATTGCACTCTTAAATACTTTAGGTTACTTATTGTACCTCTAAAAATAGTTTGGGGTGCTAGATGCACCTTTAACTTTTAAAATAAATTATCTCTTAATTCTAAATATAAGAGCTAATTAAGAATTTTCCTCTTGATATTAAATCCATGGCAATAAGACATTCCAACACTTGAAATTTCCATGTTTTTGCCACTGTTAAATTTAACCATGGTCATGTGACATTATCACGGTTAAAACCATGGCAATATGTACTTTTTAGTGGGTGTTTGAAAACACCCAAAAAAAAAAAAAAGAAGCATTTTTATGTTTTATGAGTTAAAACTCTTTACATATTTTTACCTTGTTCAACATATAAAATAACTTAAAATAAACTAATCCAAATACCTCCTCTATTTAATGCCAGAGAATTCATGTGTTTTTTTTTTTTTGTTGGGCACTGTCAGAGGGCAAAACAAGTGACGTGAACAGGATAGATAATCTCTTGCATTTAGTGGCAAGCTTCGTGTAGCTTAAATCACTCTAATTGGCGGGCTTCAATTTGAGTCCACGCAGACAAAAAGAGAAAGAAAAGAAAATAATTGTACTCAAGTTGTAATCAGGCTGTTCCATTCCAGTGATGACTGCAAATATCACGACGAAAAGTATATTCAAAGTTTCATTTCAGGTTAAAGACTTCTATATAATCATAGCATCACCTTGAACACCAAATACGTAGGAGCAAAGGAACTTGCTTCAACCTCTACAAGAATAGAATCAAGTCTCTTTATTTACTTTGTGTCTTTTCCTCCTCTTTTCCAGCACCTATTTACTTTATTTACTTCTATATAATTTTGAACTACCTTAATATAATTTTTCTAGAATGAGTTATGATTTTTCAAAGTTAAACCAAAAATCTGGAATTTAACGAGTAAACAGTAACCGGAGAACCAATTACAAATTTTCAATCTATAGGCTTGTGTAACGCTTCCAAATATGTACTTTGAGGGGTTAAAGTAAACATGTTTCAGTAACAATAGAAAGTATGCCCAAAAATTCCAAGAAAATCCTAAAAAATGGAAATGAGTTGTTAAGGCGATTTAAGTTTTAAAATGTCCCTAGAATGATTTTTTTTGTAAATTGGCTAATTATGAAAATTTTGGCTAATTATGGGAAAATTAGTAAAAATTAATTATTTAAAATATGAGGAGGCCTCAAATAATCAGACAAAAGTGAGAGAAAAATAGTTTGCAGATTATGACAAATTGTAAAATTATCTTTGCCCCTTGAAAGTACAGAGATTTTCTTTAAAGAAATTTAAAGCCAAAATTTACAGAAATAGGGGGTGTGTTGAGAAATCTATAAAAAGGGTATTTGCAGGTTAGGCTTTGGCATGAAAAAAATTATCGAAATTTCTCTCAATGAAAGGAAGTTAATGAAGTAGAGGAATAAATTTTTGAAGCAAAGAAACATCAAAAATTATTTGGTCAAAGTTATAATGGAATAAAATAATTTGGTGTTTCTTTTAAGGGATAGGAACCCTAAAGGCTCCTCTTGCCTAATGTTTGGTATTATTATATCATATGGAGTTATTTATGATGAGAAAAGATGCCAAAACATGTGCCAGTAATACCGGTAAAGTCAAAACACAGAAAAGCACCCAATATGGTGTAAAATTGTAAAATAGGTAGAGGAATAGCCAAGGGTATAATTATATCCAAATTTTTCTTTGGCGAGAAAGTAAGTTTGGAAGTATTGAGACTGAAAATGAAAACTTTAAACCCTAAGACACTAGTGTTCAGCCAAGGCTTGTTCATGGGAAAAGATTTGGATTTTGTTGAATTTAAGCTTAGAAATAGATTCTATATGCAAAATTATGTAAGAATAGTATATAAAATTAATTTTAGAAAGATTGGAATTAAAGCTCAAAAGTTAAGATTAAAGGGCTAAAATATATTTAAGAGAGCTACGTATGAATGTTTGTTTGCTACCATGGCTCTAATGAATGAATGAAAATGATATGTTAAAGTGATTAGAGCCATGTGACATCAAGGAAGAGAAATAGAAAGGTTGATCAAGCAACCTTGATAGTTGGAAGAAAAAGAGAGCAAGAGGAAAAGCAAAGAGTTCTAAGGGTAGTAAACTTATCTTTATTTTGTGCTTGATGTGTATGCTTGTGCGTGATGTCTATGATGTTAATTGGTGATGAAATGAGATAAATGTAAAGAACAATGTTTTGTTTCAGTAGTTCCATGGCCAGGTATGAAAGTATAAAACATTGAGAATAAAAGCATGTTAATAGCTAAGCTTGTGATAGATAACGTTAGCATATCATACACTTACATTCATCTTACATGTGTACTAGTTTGTTTGCTACTAAGATTCTCCTGAATCTCATCCTCCCTTAACCATCCATAATAGGTTCTATAAGCAAGGAAAAGAAATGCAAGATGTGGAATTGAAGAATGAAGAGAAGAGATTAAGAAATGTATTATGACATGTTATCAATTCCATTATGTTGATGTATGATATGTGTCACACCTCCTTTATTATCCCATTATATAACAATTGGAACCGTTTAGAGTCATTTCCCAAAGCGTAAGGATAGAAAAATTTCAACTTTAAGATTTTTATTTTCAGATTTTCGTACACTATCCACAGCAATTTGGGCTAACTTTGAAAATTCATAATAAATGTCAAAAAATTGAAACTGAGTGGTTCTAATTTTTATTTGAAGCTTGCCATGAGTTCTTTAAGAGAAAAATAGTCATTGGCCTTGAATTCATCCAAAACAATACCAGAAAATTTGTCAAGTTACACTGTTCATATGGTCAATTTTTGAATTTCTAGTATTTTAGCCCAACTTTGGAAGGGCATAACTCTTAGCACAAAACTCCAAATTTGATGGTTTACCACTTGTTTTAAAGATAAAATTGATTTCTATATGTTTGTAAAATATCAGGTCCAAATTCATCCATTTTCCCATTATTTTATGTGCCACAAGGGCATCTTTATTCCCTAATCCAATTATCTTGAATCTCTTTCCTCTTTCCATTTACCATACCATCCAAACATACCAAAACCAAGATTATAAACAACTATTCAACATTATAATTTTCATAATGTCAAAGTATTTCATACCCATAATTCATTACAAACTTATATCAAAGTTTATCAAAATACAACAAAAGCTTCACACAATATCATCAAGGTCATGTGGCCTCCTTAGCCCAATATTATCTCTTTGCCCTTGTCCATAGTTGGTCCACTCCCTATTAATGCATATTTTAACATAGGAAGGGATGAGATTTCATGAAAATCTCAATAGCAATGAATTATAATCATCATGTTGATCAAGCAATGCATAATGTGATGTGTCATAAAACTTCAAGACATCCTCAAATCATATAAAATCATTTTATGCATCATATCAAGAGAGGAAACACTCACACTTTCACATCAACATACTTCCATGCATTTGGCCCAAGCACATCAAATGTCATAAAATCAACAATTGTCATAAAATAAATTTCTCAATTCAAGTAATCAACATAAACACATTATACAAGCAAGATAAGCAATCAAATTACAATTCAATGCTACCTTTTAAACTTAAACCAATTTGGCTTCTTCAAGGAATTTGGGTTCTCCTTGATTCCTCTCCACAAAACCTATCAATTCAAGTATAATTGCAAACCACATTAACAATTATACAACTTAAACACAATACTTTAACCTTAACCTACTTAATTCTCTCCTTTTTCTTTGATTTTTAACAAAATTGTTCCTCCTTTGGAATCAATAATCTATTGGTTGATTCCTACACAATTTTTCATGTATAATTCAAATATCAATTCAGATTTATAAAAATTAAACTCCTTCCT